GGGGGGGGGGGGTTCCCCCTTACATCAGTAAGGAACAGTTTAAATAGTTTCGGCACAAAAAGAGTTGGAATTAATTGAATTTGTGTATCATTCAAGAAGAAGACTTTGAAAAACAACATTAAAAGTTCAGAATATTAGATATATGAAGATTAAATAATAACATACATAGTAAAAAGAACTTATCTAACGTATGAAAACTAGATTTGAATGGATAACCAACAGAAAATGTCAAAAGCAGTCATTATTAGCTCGTGAAATTGTTTCACACTCAAAAGTTCAGCCGCGATGGACATCTATGATGTTTAGTCTATTGTTTTTCAACTTCACCATCATTGTCATCATCAAATTGTTGTGAATTATCACCACTACAATTACTACCAGTAACAGTATCACGACAACATAGATCTCGTTCCCATTCTTGTTGATCAATTGTTCGTCGTTCATTTTCAGCAGAAGGAGTAACCAATGAAGCCTAAATAAAGAATTTATTCGACAATTTTATTTAATAATAAATCATAGTATATTATCACAGCAAAAAAAAGAGTAGTATTTCAAGCGAATCAATATTAAATGCACTACGTGGGCGTCCTCTGAAATTTTTGACGAGGCAGGAATTTTTAATTGATACCAGTAGATAAAGAAAATCATTCTAAATGGAACTGTACTTTTAATTTTTTTCAAAACAAAAAGATGTCTAAACACTGAAACAATAGAGATAAGATGGCCAATCATCCAGAACCTATATATATGATTGGCATGATGTGACCAATCAAAACAGAACCATCCCAAAAAGCTGAATCATCGAAAAACTGATGCCATATAGCTGCTCTTCATTAGAAGCAATAATCATCTTGCTACTCGAATATTTGCCGAATTTAAGTTAGGGTGGGTATGGGTGTGGGTGTGAGTGATATATAATCATCCCGCACGCACACTCACACTCTACCAAAGGCATTCAACATCTCATGGAATTGATTGTAGTCAGAGTGCTAACTTTAATCAAAACTAGTCCTGTTAATCAAAAATGTGACTCGACTCGATCTTACCTTTTGAAAACAGGCAACGGGCTCTTTTCTAGTTGAAGCACCTTTCTTATCAATGTTTGTCTTCGTTAGTCTTTCAACTGAAAAAAAAACATTCAGCTTGGTTCTCATGCTGTTTTTTATGGACTTCGTATTTCGTGGCAATATTTGACTTTCTAATCAATATGATCAACAAAATGTATTTCAGGAACTTCGCCATAACTAATTACTATCGTGCAAAAATCCATTTTGTAAAGGATATAAGCTTTTATCGGTGTCGTTTTAAGTTGGACTAGTCATATAGAATCAAATGGAGCTTAGCAATTCTTGGTTCGATTTTTACCGGGTCAGGTCATCAAAAAGTATTTTTTGCTTTTGCACTGTTTCATGTTTATTTTGTTAAAGAACTTTTCAATCCATCAATCCATTTTATAATCGACAAGAAAAATACTATCCTTGTAAAACATATGCTATCATAATACGTGAGTTTATTCAACAAATATGACTGCACACATTAAGTTTCAACTTACTTGTTTAAATTCAAGAAGATCTTGAATCATAACACGAATATGTTCTGATATCTTCTGCTCTTTAGCAATGACATCTAATTTATGACAGTATTTTTTCAACTGTGCCATACGCTTATCCTGTTAAGTAGATTTAATGCTTAAAACAAAATAATATATATTTCAATCTTTATACTTTTTCACAAGCCTTAGCATAAATTTCTTTCCAAATAGAACGTAAAATCCGACATAAACATTCAAGACATTCTTCATTAGTTGTACGATTGAATAAATATCGAATATTGCGATTCATTGCATCATAAGGTACCATGCGTAATTTAAATAATTCACCAAAAAAGCTTTTTAAAAAGTTATATGATCATAGAAAAATAACATTTTCAAATCGAAGAAAATCAGATTATGTAAATATCTCCAAGAGATAAAACGAAAGAATACTATTTTCAAGAAAGATTCAAGCATCTTTTTTAATGGAAAGCTAGTCTGTATTAAACTGCACAGAATTATCTAACAATGGAAGGGTTTGTACTGATAAGCAAAATGGTTGACCATGCTCAGGTCAAATGATCACTCTCACCGAGAAACTAACAAATTTAAAATATGAGCTGCTTCTGGCGTACCTAAACCGAGATATTAGATTTTTCAGTGAATTTTCTCTGTAGGACCCCACCTTCTCAGAAAAATCGTATATTCGAATTTCGCCCTGAAACTTTGTGTACATGAAGGCCTTAATGAGACTAGCTTACACCAAAAAGTTCAGAAGTTTTGGACAAATTTTCTCTGAGATATCAATCTCTCGAAATGTATAACTCCTATAGAAAAGCACCAATGTTTTGAGACTTTGATATCTCAGAGAAAGTTTGTCCAAAACTTCTGAATTTTTTGGTGTAAGCTAGTCTCATTGAGGCCTTCATGTACACAAAGTTTCAGGTCGAAATTCGAATATACGATTTTTCTGAGAAGGTGGGGTCCTACCAAGGGGGAAAAAGCGAGACTCCAAGAGTGCGTACTCCAACTGTACTCCAGCTGTACTCCAGCTGTACTCCAACTGTA